GAGGCAGCTTCTCGAGCAACCTGTGCTCACCGGAGAATAATGATTCTTTTGGCCTTGCCAAACAGGAATACTCTCCATCTTCAGGTATCTATTTCTTTCTTTTTCTTTCTCATTCCTTGCAGATCGGACGTAGGCGAGTTGGTGGAATCGCAGCATAGCCAGTGCGGCCGGTGCGTGGACGGGCCTCAGATAGGTTGTCACCGTAGTAGTCCCAAAGTAAATGTGCTCCTCTTATTATTCGGACAGAAGATATAAGCGCAGTTCTCCCGCACATGAGTTATGCTCAAAAATTGAGCTTACTCCGAGAAGGTTTGGTTGCCGACGAGAACGAACGCTGCTCGGCTTTACTCTCTCTCTCTCTCTCTCTCTCTCTCTCTCTCACACTATCGGTTTTTTCTATCTTTGTCTCTCTTACAAGAAGTTCTCTTCTTCTCGCTCCTTGCTTTTGTTTCAACGATATATTTTCTCTCTTCGAATCGGCAAAGATCGTTCTTTCCTTCATGGGTTTCTCTTTCTGTAGCATTCAGGAGGCTCCTTGTTCCAGGAGAAAGGAGGATAATGCGCACGCCTGCGCCAACCTCCGCGGAATCTTCCTCCTTCGGAATTTGTGGATTATAATAAATGCGTATGCAGTAGCCAGAGGTATAGAACGAAACGTCGAATGGTCGTCTTTCTCTTTTCTTCATTTCTTTTATTTTCTTATTTACTTCTCCTCCTCCTTTTCTTCTTTCTCTTCTTTTTCTTCTTTTTATTCTGTGACAATTCTCGATACAGTATCAACGACAACTACGATGGCACGAAATAATTCAATCGAGACGATTGGACGATCTGATAGTATCGAAACCTCGATAAATACGAGGAAGTTAATCACGCGATAATCAATCTTCAACGTTCCTTTTTACAGAATGATTCCAGTATAATTAACAAATCACCTATCGATTAAAATGATTTGTGAGAGAATTATTACTACAAATTTTTTCTTTCATCTATCGTTCATTATTAATGATCTTTCTATAGGATGTAAGTACTCTCAAATAAAATATACAGAAACAGTTTTTTGTTGATATTGTCAATGAAATTGATCTGAAAGAAAAACTGATTTTCCCTCGGAGATAATAAATGTGTATCGTCTTTTAGTACATTAATAAGTCGAAGATAACAATTAGTTAGTTTTGTTCAAAAGAGAAGATTTGTAATTTTTTCTTTTCATTATATTTTTGGTTTTGTACTTATTCCTTTTATCTTTTAAAGAATTTGTTCTTGCGAGTACGTAACCTTTACATTTTCTTTCTTTTTAGTTGCCGTGTCATTAACTTACCCTCTCTTTCTTCTCTCTCTCTCTCTCTCTCTCTCTCTCTCACCCACACTACATAGATATTATTTTTAATCGAAGAAAACTCTGGAAAATGATGATGATAATATTACTGAAAAATACGGTAACGCCATTACAGAATAAAAATCCACGGAATTACTCGCGCATGATAGCGCGTTGAAAACTTTCGGAATTGTTCCACTGCGGGGAGAGAATTACTTCCCCTCGGATAGATACTTTTGATCGAGAAAGCCGCTTAATAAAGTTCACCTTTAATAGTTTTAACCGGTTCTCTCCGATACTTCGCCGATATCGAAAACTATTACCGAGACCATTGAGAATTATTGAAAATTCTTCAAAAGTACGAGGAAACGAATTTAGTATAGTCCTATAGAGAAATAAAGCAAGGATGAGTTTTGATAAAAAATGAAAGAAGGTCTTAATTTCCTAATAACATATAGAATTGCCGTGTAGTCTGCTGGTTAAACTCTACTTAAATGTTGCAAATTTTAATAATAAAATACAATATATTACCTCTCATTTTCTTTTTGGTTTAATTAGATCGTATTTCTTTTTATTTCATTTTAATTTTTCTTTAGTTTCACGCTTATTCGTGAAATGGTAGAATGCCGAACTCATATACAAAGATTCTTGTTCCTATATAATAATCCAAGTAAACATAAACCTCTCAAGCTCGAGAACATTCTACAAGAAAGCACACTATATTTCTAAGTTACTGATTCTTAGTGTAGGTAGGGATGTGCTATGTGCACTTAGATGTACATAGAGTAACGAGATAATCGAAGAAGTTCGATTAATACGAAAGCTACTGGTCCAAAGTAATTTGAAGGGAATACATAGGGTATACGTAGATACATACGTAAGTACTTATCTCGTAAGCGCGTAATGCATTTAAAGACGAAACACGTATCGATTTTACAACGAGTCTAATTAAGGTCGAGTAAGGCTTAGGCGGATGCATAGAAAACAAAAAATCGATAGTTAGCTCGAAGTCTCATGTTCATCAGTGATACGTATAATTATTCAAGCAATTTAAATGTTCGCATATATATACACGTTCTAAAATCGTTGCATAACATATCTATGAAGAAAGAGAGAGAGAGAGAGAGATAGTGCGTTGAAAATACCACGTTACAAACTTTTTAATGTGAACTCGATCGCTAAACTCGTACTTACTATTATACATGCATATATACATAGATACGTACGAGCGACGATCGAATCGAAATTAATCGACACTCAAGCCGGTTACGAAACATTACCTATTACCGTCGATGTACATCGCGCGCGAAACGTTAAACGAATCAAGATTTATGGAGCGATCGATAACTTCTCGTCGTCGATTTGCGATACCTCTTCCACCGATATCCTTCGATATTTTCTTCGAGATGGCCTTTAACGAAGAATGGAAACGATTGATTAATTGGTAAGGTAATTCTCTGATCTTCCGCCCGACTAACAGTAAAGTAAGTAGAAGTATATATTAACAATTTTCAATCTACCTACTCTACGGGAATGAATCAGCAACGGAATTCATAGTCTTTATTTGTACGCTTATCTAAGAGGCATAGAATTTCAACGGTTTCAACTCATCGATAAGAATCGATAATTATAAAATGCTCTTTTGATTCGTTGAAAAAAATATTTCATTAAGAAACAAAACAAAAATTGATATAAAAATTTTACCTTAGTCAAGTACCAATCGTCGATAACCTTAACAATAATTCATTTCTAAAGGAAAAAATTTGAAATTAAACAGGAGGTTTAAGAAGATTTCTTTATAAAAAAAAAGAAAAAACGCGATTGAAACGATGCTTTCTATCTCTATCTCTCTCTCTCCCTCTCTCTCTCTCTCTCTTTCTCATCCGCAGAGAGAGTTTTTAATTTCCTGCAAAATAGAATCCTTCTCTCGCGGGGAGCGACGTTCCACGCCCATCCCTTGTCCCACGCAGTGATAAAGCAAATAAAGGCCGCGCGCACATCCTGCCACAATAAACCCCCGCTCGAAATCGCATAATTTAAATAAATTTACATCCGTTTGTACGCGAATAAATTTCACTTCATTCTTGACTTCTCTCTCTCTTTCTCTCTATCTCACTCCCTCTTGGTTCTTCCAGCCTTCCAATCTCTATATTTCTCTATCCGTCTACGTTCCTCTTTCAAACATCAACACCAGCAACCGACGAGTCCGTCGGTTCTCGGCTCTATTCTTCGGTTAAAATCATTTTGGCAGTCCTGTCCCTGCGGTTTCCTTCTATTCCTCGCTACCAACATCACTTTTACCACCACCACCACCACCACCACCACAATCGCAATCGCCGGCGTCGATGAATAATCAAAGAGGTTGGAAGGTCCTCCTCCTGCTGCTTCTCCGCCTCTTGAAATTCCACGGTTGATAACAACGAGGACGAAAGGCAATGAATGCCGGCACGCAGGATACCACGAAAGGTGCGAACAATGAGACTGTATATTCAAACGAAATTGCAAATCGGAGAATGGACGAACTCGCGGTGGGAGGGAGAAAGAAGCATTGGAAATCTTCGCGATCGAATCTCCCTGCAAGTCATACGAGGGCTTACGATCAAAAAGAGAAGAACATAAATGAACGAGGATATCTTTCTTTCTTTCTTTCTTTCTTTCTTTCTTTCTTTCTCTCTCTCTCTCTCTCTCTCTCTCTCTTTCTTTCATTCTCGTACGAGCTAATCGAAGATAAAAGCGCGTTTGTAATTAAAACGTGACTCGTCGAGGAGCTTCAGCAACGGCAGCAACAAGAGAAGAAACATACTCTCTGCTTGATATAGTCTCAAAAACGAAGGACGAACGGGCGCAAACCTTCAAGGAATCGATTAAAGGATGCAATTAATCTGGTCTGCGTACTACTGCAAACGATTTTCTCTCTCCCTCTCTCTCTCACACATACATTCTTTTATGATGAAAGATATTCCTTTTTAATATGAACAATTGGTTTCCCATTCTAAATGACCTGTATTGAATCTAGAGCAATGATTTAAACTATACGACCTTAGACGATAGTTTTCTCGTTTAAGTTTTACTGGAATGTTCAATAAATTTTGCGGTTCGATAAGAAAAACACAATTTTGTAGTTTAAAATACATCTTATTATTCAGTATAGTCTCCCTGAACATCAATACACTTGTTCCAACGAGATTCCAATTTATGAATTCCATCCCAGAAGTAAGAATCTGAAGGGCTGCAAAATACGCTTCCACAGCTGTTATGACCTCATCATTTGATGAAAAACGCTTTCCATACATGATTTTTTTTAGTTCTGGAAACAGATGAAAGTAGCTAGGGGTCAAATCTGGTGAATACGGAGGATGCTCCAACAATTCGAACTTTAATTCATGGATTTTAGCCATTGTCAAAATGCTCTTGTGACACGGTGCATTGTCCTGATGAAGAAAGATTTTTTTCTTCCGCAAACCGGGTATTTTTCACGAATTTTTTCCTTCAGCTGGTCTAAAAGGTTACAATAATATTAGGAATTTATTGTTTTACCAGTTTGCAAGTAATCCACAAACAAAATTCCTTTCGCATCCCAAAAAAATGATGCTAACACCTTCTTGGCCGATTTCTGCACACGAACTCGTTTCGGAGCCGAAGAACCATGTTCACACCACTCTTTTGCTTTTTTTATGATTCAGGATCATAGTAATAGACCCAAGTCTACTATATGACGCACAAAATCCACTTTATTCTTTCGAAAACGCTCTAAATGTTGCTGAGAAAGTCGCATTCGAATGTGTTTTTGTTCCATTGTTAGCGAATGCGGTACCCATTGTGCACACAGCTTTTTGAAACCCAACACTTCAGTCAAAATATTGCTTACATTGCCCAGTGAGATGCCTTGGGCTGCTACTAAATCTCTTTCCGTAACTCGACGATTTTTCAATACGATATCCTGTATTTTTTCTACAATTTCTGGTTTTGTTGCTGTTTTTGGGCGTCCTTGACGTAGATCGTCTTCAAGGTTTGTACGACCACGTTTAAATTCAGCAACCCATCTTTCTACTGTACTAATTGAAGGCGAAGAGTCCTTATATACTTTCAACACTCGTTCATAAATTTCTTTTGCTTTTAAACCTTCCAAAAATAAAAATTCAATCATTGCACAATACTGGATTTCTCCAATGTATAAAAATACTGTAACACGTCGATACTAAATGGCTTGTAAACAAAGAATTAATTGACAGATTGAAATGAAACTTCACATACGTTCATATGAAGAGTGTACAAACATAATAAAAACAAATTTAGGCTAGTAGCAACGCCCTTTTTTATCGAACCGCCAAACTTATTGAACAGTCTAGTACTTCCATGCACGCGTCGCGACAAAATTCGTTTCACGAAACTTCGATGCTTCCAAAATGTATATTATACAAACTCTCCGGATGCATAACGTCGTCGCGCGTATCGCTGAAACTTTGCAACGTTTACGATAAGAGTCGATAGATATATATATATCTTACTCATTCTTGCATTTTGCCCTCTCTTTCTTGCGTCACAATCTAACGTGTAAAGCAAAAGCGGTGGCACGAGAGAAGAAGGATGAAAGACGAGACGCGTCTCCGAAAGGAATCAAGGGAAAGGGAAAGAGAGTGAAGGAAGAGACAACGGGCATGAAAGCGTTTCTATTCTCCAGACTAGGCGACGACGCATTGTTCGTCGTCGGAGCACACGTCGCGTGTACGTGGGTGGTTAACGCGGAATCAATGGAGCACACGCGAATGATATATGACACATAGACGCGAAATACCATTAAGTATATTTTCCCTTAACTCTATCTACTACTCTCTACTTACTTTTCTTTCTATTTTTGAAAATAGAGAGAAAAGGAAAGAAAGTGCTTGAGAGAAAAAAAATGATGTGCATTGAAAAAACAGAGAGAACGCGTGAGTAAGTAAGAGAGATGAAGGAAAGAATAAGAAACGAGGAAGAGATAGGTGACCAAGAAAGAGAAAGAAAGACAAATAGAGTGGTAGGAGGGCTGGTCGGGGTAGGCTCGTAATAAAGTCGATAATAACACGGAGCCATGGATATTTAGTGCTAGTTGTAAATCTTGGAGCAAATCGACGCCGCCATTCCGTTTCTACGACCGAATATATTACTACCGTGGTAGCAACGATACGTGCTATACACAATCTCCTCATCTTCCTCCTCGTACTCCTCATCTTTCTTCTCTTCCCTTCTTTTTCTTTTACCGTCAACATATGTACTACCACCACTACAACCTCCACCACTACCAACTAACGTTAGTTCTTCTCTCTTCGTCGAAAACTGTTCACTTTTTCGTACTCTTTCACGAGCGATTCGTAAGTAGTATATTTACGTAGTATGTCTTTTCGTTCTTCCTTAAGATATATCTACATAAAATTCCTTCAGGCGCGAGAAAGACACATCGAAATATACGACCCACTAAAAACACGTCGCTTTGAACGCATAACGACGTGTAGTGAGGTATTAAATAGCTGAGGGAAGGAATGTTCTTCGATGTTCTTACAATTTTCGAAAGGATTTCAGATCATTAGTAAATATTACGAGTAAACGTTGAAACATTGACGGTGTCATCTCGATTATAATCCCTATATTATTTGTAGTCAATGTTGCAGCTTTTTTGTAATTTATGCATTGACACCTTTATAGCATTATTTAAATGTTCCGTTGCTTGTTCGTTTCTCATGTTCCTGATTAAATACGTACGATATCTACGATAAATCGAAAATTTTTGAAGATAAATACATACGATTTGTATATAGATTCGTTTTTTACCGTTCGAATTTTCTTTTATATTCGATAAAAGATAAGAAATATAATTTTCTATAAAAGAGGGTAAAAGTTAGTAATAAAATCAATGAGGTCGTAACGATTTTCGATGGAGCTTTCCTTTTATCTTCGTGAACTTACTCGAAAGACGCAACGAAAGCACATTTCATGGCGATCGGGCTATCGTTACGATATAATTACGGTTACGAGCATATGGTACAAGCTGGTAGAAGCTAATGCCGATCGTCCAGTCAGCAAGAATAAGTGGCCGGGAGGAACGTAGCTATTCCCCGGTGTCTCGATGCGTATCGATGGAAGCGAGCGTAGTGGTAAGTATAAATGTACGCCTCCTGGTAACATCGTCGGCATGGCGAATGCTGCGATCCATCCTCGCGTCTATCTTGTCCGAGGACTAACGATAAACTTGAGAAATTATCGGCCGACCGGTTGAGCGGACTCGAATAAGAACGACTTTCGAGATTCGACCAACCGATTTTCATCATATGATCCGATATACCTTTTTATGTAATGCACTAGTCTCTGAATAAGATGCATTTACATATGAAAATCAAACTTATACTTAGTTTAGATCAACTTTTAACTCATCGTTAAAAACAAATAGCTTTTTTTTGTTTTTAAATAAATGTCGCATTTTAACAATTTCTTATCGTTCTCTAATCGGGGTCTACTTCGTTTCATAGATTTTCTATTTTGAGATCCAGTTTCTAAATAAATTAATTTAATTTATATTATTTATAAATTTAATATTTTATAATATTAATTTTAAAAATTATTAATAAATCCAAATTCTAAATAAGAATATTTGTACGCTGCATCCTCACTTTAACTAACTTTTTTCTTTTTTTGGAGTAAAATAAAACTATATAGTCCGAGACTAGCAACGTTTTCGAGAGAGAATTGTGGGTAAGCTGATTTTTGAAGTGAAAACTTCTTTAGAATAGGGAGTGATTTGAAAAAAATGAAACGCTGGTTCAGGCAACGAAACGGTAGATGGCGAGGCAACGGAGACTGTATACGGATAGGCAACGGAGACTGTATACGGATAGGCAACGGAGCCTGTATACGGACAGGCACATTCACAGAAAGAGTGAAAAGTGTAAAAGAAAAAAAATTTATCTACCTGAGTTTCAAAAAAAAATATATTATATTTTATATTTACTTAGGTTAAGATAGGATATCTTTCCACCGACCAACATTCTACAATAATAACTTATTGCCAGGCAAGTAGTGCAGGTTCTAACCGAAAGATCAAGAAGAACGACATATCAAAAAATCAGCTTACCCACAATTATTGTTTTCCCGACGTTGCTAGCTCCCGGACTAATAGATATAAGATGAAAATTGTTCAAATTACGATAATTTGTTTACAGAAATAATTGGAATTAATTAATTTAATTGGAAAAATATTTACAAATTATGTAGTTAATATATTCCTTGAAAATTTACAAAATTTTACTATGAAAATGCATTATATTACAGCTATTTATAATTTTGAGCGATTAGTCTTCAATCTATCAGAGGATAAATATGCATAATGACGAAAATTCTCGTATATCTTCTCTCGTATAACTACGTACGGTGATTCGTCTTTCCGTGTTTCCCTTTGAAATAATTTTTCTGCTTTCTTCTTTTTAAAAATGCTTTTGAACGAGACGACAGTTTCGTGGCGAGTTTTTTTTCGATTCATTCTTCCTCTATCTACCTTTTCTCACGTTCTTCCTTTCGTTCGAAGGATTGCTATCGATAGACGATTCGCGTATTTCATCGACGACGAGGAGCTCTTGTATTCGGCGTGTTGATGGTATTTGTTAGCCCGGTGACGTATTTGTTCGCCAAGAAGACGTCGGATGATGGATGGCAGTCAGCAGGAGAGCGATTTGTCTCCCACAGTCTAGGAAACGTGGAAAGGCAAACGACTATGCGAGAGACCAGCGAGAGTTTCTTTCAAGAGCAAGAGAAAGATAGATATGGAAAAAGTAAAAGAGAAGAAAGATGAAAAAAGGGGGCAAAATAAGAAAAGAAGGATCCAGTGGAACACGAGACTTTGGACGTTTCTTGGATCGCGACTTTGTATTATTTATGACATCAAAATATTTGCTAATATTCTTCGTGAATGCCCGTAACAACGAGAAACGATAAAAAGCGTTTATCGGTGAAACGAGTCGTTGACGAGAGAGAGAAAGAGAGAGAGAGAAAAAGAAAGAAAGAAAGGAGCCATTAATGTTCCTTTTTCTTATTATTATAAAAAAAGAAACTCATTTCACTTTTGCTTCCCATTATTTTGTCATTAGCTTGTTTCTTATTCCCTTACTACTTTCAGATAAAGATTTTTCAATATACTTTCAATTAATCATTACTATTTTTTTAATAATTGGTTAACATATTTCACATATCGCATAATTTCTTGTTTAGACTAGAAAAAGATGTGTGATATCAAAATTTTCATGTATAAACAAGATTGACTATACACAAGTTTAATGATTCTACACAACGAAAGGATTAATGTCGGCATTTTTCAAAAGAGCAAGGCCATTGCTCTCGCTCCCCTCTTTCTCTTTCTCTTTCTCTTATAACGGTTTGGCTCCGAAACGCCTCCGCGTCCTACGGCGTTCCTACTCTTTCCGAACAGAATTGGCGAATTATTATTAAACGCCGTCAAAACAGCGAATTTATTTCGGCGCGGTATCTTATTGATGTACCATTGGACTGTAAGAAGTCCCATGGGCCTTGGGACGCGCTGCGCCGCGCTGCGGAACGCCCCAGGAGGCCAACGGGTCCCATTGGTGTAACTACAACGACTATAAATTTCATTGGATCCAATATCATGTCTGTAACTCGTTAAGCACTTTTAACCTCGTCCAGACCATGCCAGATATCAATCGATCCATTGTTGTTACCACGCGGCCTGGAATCATCCAACTTCCTCTCTGGTTTTCTTGGAAATAACAAAAAGAAACTTATTCTATTAACACAATAGCCTATCTTAGATTAAATTTATTTAATGTATTATTATACGAAGCTATTGTAGCCAATTTAGTTTTCCGATATTAATGTTCGAAATATACCTACTGGATATAATTCAAAATAGCAACTAAGGTAACCCATCTCAGCTAACGGAAAATCGTGAATACACGAGATGATAGGGAGTTTAGCAGGGAGGAGGCTAGGAACGTGTCCTCTCGCGTTCCTGAATAATCGAAAACGCTGAGTGCACGTCCGTGTTACCCTCGGGCATCTTGAACGCCCCGAAGCAAACGTCGACGTAACCGGTCAAGCACCTAAGCCCTTCTAGGATCGGCTGGCCTTTGGTTACTGCTCTATTCTAAGCGCTTCGACGATGCAAACGAGCGTATATCAACTTTACCCTTCTACCTGTACCGTGAAAACCTTTCATAAAAATTCAATAACGTTGTATTTCGTATATATTATAAATTCAATATTAATTACAAGTATATTTGTTAATTTTCTTGGTAATTATCCTTCTTTTAAAGGGTTTGAATCTCTAAAATTACTGCAACTCAATTCGTTTCCAAGACTAATTTAACTCGTCTCACACAATTTTAAGTGATTTTTGAGTTAATGAAAACTGATCGTTCTTAATGACAAGCTTAAATGAGACAGATTGCAAGGAATGATATACCTATGAGAAAAAATAAAGGAAGACAGATCGGATCTTGTCGCAAGCAGTTAAACAATCGCGGACCATCGCGTCCGGTCATTATCGCTGAGTCGTTACTGTTATATTCTATGCTCGAACGCGTCTCTCGGTACGCCTTTTACGTGGAACGATTAGCGGTGTGTGTCGATGCGAAAAAGAAAAAAATACATTCTTTTTACAGCGAAAGGGTACGAAGGAGCACGCGACACGATGACCCGCGTGAACAAGCAATGGAGAAAGATAAAGTTTTACTTTGAAAGAAGAAAGAGAGAGAGAAAGAGAGAGAAAGAAACGAAGTCTGCACTTTGTTCCAGTCGAAGAGACATCCTGAGAGGAAGATTCTTGTTTTATTATCTCTCTATCTTTCTCTCCTTTCTTTTTATGGTGATCACGATTATTCAAAGACGCTTACAATGTTACTTATATAAAATTTGCGAAAAAAAAAAGAAATAAAAGACCGAAATAGAGGCTGTATCGATGTTATCGTTTTAAATCCACATCTCATGGGTATTTTAGATAAAACGATTTAAATATATCGGAGGAGAGCCATTATGACGTTTGATCCGTTAAGTGCTTATGATATTTCATTTAGAAAAGATATTCAGAAAGAGAAAGAGGGAGAAAAAAAATACGTTAAAGTGTGGGGTTTAGACAGAGAAAATTATATTAAACTGATGATGATGAAATCTAGTTTATTAAATTAATTATGATGATGTGATGTTGAGCAGTATTTACGAAAGGTTTACAGAAAAGTGGCGTGGGTATAAAAATACAGAATACAAAAAAGAGTTATAAATATAAGATCGACTGTGACTGACTAATAAACTGATAAACTGACTGATAAAATACGCAGACGAATATAACAGACTGAAAGTATAATTATTAAACTGAGAACTAAGGACTAAGGAACCGAACAGACAAACAGATATACAGACTGATACAGATTAAGAACTGATAGGCTAAGAAACTTAAAGCTAAAGACTCTCACATATTTATATCATAAAAGAGTAACACCTCTTTGGAGGGGGAAGGAGATTTTGAATACTATCGACCAATAGCAGAAGGATCCTTCCCCCATAGTCAACCGATAGGTACAACTTTTGTTTTTGATAAAGATCGTAGTGAAATCATGCATAAAGGAACTTCGTTTTTTTAAACAACGGAATATCGTTTCCACCTCCCCAATCACCGAGTGGAGTTTCCTTTCACTAAAATCGATATCGTATTCAAACAGGAAATAAAATAAATGAAGAACTAAATATTAATTTTATCGTTTACAAAAGTTTCTTTTCTTTTTTTTTTAAATTCTCTAAAGATATGACATATCATCTGTGAAATAGCTTTCGGCGAAGTAATTTGTCTAGCGAGAGATGCCTTTCGTCGTCCGCCGCTTGGTAGCTACCGTCGTAAACGACGTCCCGCGGGGATATCATCGGTGATTACGGTATCCACGACATCTTGACTCGGTGCACACGACGATGTCTCGGAAAGTTTCGTCGTTAGCTAATTGCAGCGTGCGCGCGAGACCGTGTCGCGTTGCCAAGTAAATAGGTATGGTATACTCAACATGGTGTGGTGTACCAAAGCACGTGAGTCCTATCGTCTGATGCCGATGTCGACACCGACTCTGAGACTTCGTCGTAGTCGTCGTCGTCTTTACGTTCGCGTGTTAATACATATGCATTTTGCCCTTTCTATATTTCCAACAAGTCCCGTTCGTATAATAAAATATTACGAATTGCATCGATCCAATGTTTTACCTATAATATTAGTACTTTTTTTAAATTATATTACATTACATTAGATGTAAAAGATTTTAATTAATTTTTCAAAAAAAAAAGGAATATCAGTTCGTTAAATCTTCAAAATTAAATTATTCCGATAGAAGTAATATTTAAGATTATACTTAAATATGTATATTTTAGCAGTCATATAATTCAAACGTAAGTTCCTTTGAACGTAGAAAAATGATTCTTTCAATTTTTAATTAGTTTCTTCAAATAGATAGAATTTTTCCCTGAAAATTATTATTGACACTTCCTTCATTTTTTTTTTCAAAGATTCAAGTTTGTTAATCATGAGAAGTTTCTATCAGAGTCATTACACTTTCAGCAACCTTACTAAATTCTCATTATCCTACATACTATCATAGTTACCCCTTTTAAAGTGGGATTTATTTATGATGATCCATTAAAACCGACGTGTAAGGCACCCCGAGATAGGGAACGAGAACTTTCGTAATGAGAGAGTAATACGATTCTATAATATTTCTCTAATCTCGATTCGTGAATCGATCGATGAAGGATTATGTCCGCATTGTATTTTCTAGTTCCGATATTCTACAATTATTGCAAATAAATTTTTTAACATTTATCCAAGTTAACTTAAAGCAAAGTATTGATAAAAAATAAATGGAATGTTAATATTGTTAAAAATCAAGGTAAAAAACATTAAATTATTAACTATTCCTAAATATATAATCATAGATAGAATTTCTTTATTTTCTATCGAAGAACAATTAATGAAATAATAATTTTCAAATATGTTATTTTGATATTTGTAAGATGTATTAGTATTTAATTTTATTTATTTTAATATTTATAATATTTATAGAGTTTATTAAAAGATTTAACTTGATAAAATGAGATAGAATAAAATAGTAAGTACCTCTATAATTATCTAAATTAATTGTTTATTTACTTGTTGCATTTCGTGCTACTTTAAACGCAATTTTTAACGAAGATACCGTCGTACTTATCTCTTCGTTGTTTGTTGTCTTTCGTCATCGTCTTTCGCGCGCAACAAACTCGTCGTAAAAACTAATACAATGTCAAATGCGCACCCACTTGTCCCCTTCGTTGTCTTTATATAAACTTCCCGACCATTTCCAATCATAAAAAATCTAAATTATTATTATAACATTTACTAACTCTTTCATCCTACAGTATATTCCTATGTACTTATACACTCATACAACGTAATAAAAGAATTAACCTACACACTTACTTTTAATACTAACACTATTCCCTCTCTCATCCTCATAGATTTATTATTTCTTATCGTGAATCGTGATTTGTTAATTCAGTACTCATGTAAATTTCATCTAAACAGAATAAAAAAAAATATTCTTATTCGTATAATATTGTATAATCTGGCATTATATATTCAATCACTTCGTCTTACGTCTAAAATGATTCTAATTCAAAAGAAAATTAGAGAGAGAGAGAGAGAGACAGAGAGAGAGAGAAAGAAGGTTTCCAACATAGAAGATCCATGATTAAGGCTCGAATGAGACTCGAACGATGGAAGTACCAACATGTTATAGCTTGCGAACGTGCTGTTCAACGATCCCGTCGGTCTTCCAGCAACGTTAAGTATTCACCGAGTGTAAGTACATACGCCTATGCTTCTGGATTAGCCAGAGCCATCCATCTGGTATATTTACGGCAAGTATAACTTGTAATTCAACATCGATTTTCGTACTCTTTCAGGCCATTTTATATTGCCCTCCCACGAAACTTTTTTTTTCCAGCCAACATACTACCGAGTGTTTCTTACTATTTCTTTTATCCTTTTACTGTAAAAGTGAGTTTCCCGGAATAAACGTGCCATTGTACGGGGTAAGTATCACTCCCTAGCTTTATGCACCGTCGTATTACAAGCTACGGAATAGAAATAGGAAAAAAGTCAGATTAATAATGTATGCTTCAGAAAAAAGGGGAAAAAATTACTAGATATACAATTTGATCGAATGGATGAACTAGTAATATAAAATAGAAATACATAATGTTAGTGCGTAAATAAAATGCGTTGCTTTTAGCGATGATAGCAAATATTTATAGCCGCATTTATAATAATTTTCTAATAACGAATGACTTGCAGTATTTATAAATTATTGAGACAAGGAGCGAAGTCCATTACATTCAATCGTTTTTTTGATCAAAAAAATATCCCGTGGCTTAATGCGGCTTTGCGTCAGACAGTCCTAAAAACTATTCTTCGAATATCTCACGATCAGAATACTTCGAATCGGTGTCACGTGTTGTAGAAGCTCTTAGAAAATGGGTTGTGACAACTCGTACCAATCGACGATCAAAACGGTAGTAAAGAACGAACATTGGGCGAATTGAGATCCGTTGGTATGATAGAAAGTACTCATGACAGACTT